ATGACAGCTCAAATCTCCAGCTTTAAAGAGTAGCTGGAACATACGGGTTACAGTTATTTGCTGCGTTAGCAAGAGGGAATTTAATTTTTGACTTGTTCATGTTCTGCATTGGTATTTGAAAGATGCTATGTGGGGAGAATACATAGAAAATTGTACTAGATATACTATAGTTAATGTAAATTATCTGTACTATAGCAGAAAATGAGGGGTCAGGGCATCGATCCTTGAAATTGGCCTGACCTAGATCAAGAGTTTTGTGGATAGCTGAGTGCCAAGCAGGCAGGGCAGTGTCCAGGCTCTCACAGATAGGTGGTAAAAATGTATCCACCATCACGGACCTAAGAGGAGGCCTCTACTGAGACATCGGCATCTTTGCCGAGGCAGTGTTATGGGTTATATTTGAGCAGAGATTGCACAGTACCCCGTGCCTGCATTTATCTGTGAGCCTGTTTCCTGATAGAATGAAGCCCAAGTAACGGGATTGTCCTTGATTTGCCTTAGGGCAATGGATGTAAGAAACTGCTCAATTTGAAACCCCTCTTGTGGTGGGAAAGGCAGCCTTCTTCATGGGAGTGTTTCACTCTGTGCTTTGAGTTACAGAGATTTTATGAATACTTTGTCTTAACACTATTTGAACTATTTTTGCTGAAAAATTTAAAAAATGCATATACTAGCTGTCAATTATAAAAAAATTAACTTTAAAAAAGGTAAACGAGCTTTTGCAAAATGAAATGGTTTAGCTTTTAGAATCTTTAGTTTTCCCTGTCTCTCTCTCTTTTTCTCTCTCTTCAGGTCATCAGTCTGGATTAGATTTGCGTGGGCAAGCACGGCCTAGCTGATAAATCCTGTGGTGGTTTTTTGTGTGCTGCAGGCTGTGATGTAGCTAGGGTCAAGGTCATAGTGGTCACTGCTATTTTTCAAATGCAGTCTGTATAGCCTAAAGATCTGGGCTCATGCAAAATGTGGTTTTTAGTTTTTTTGCTATTTCTGTAACTCTTGAGGCATACTATACAAATACAGAAATATATTCTTTTTTTACATGCTACCGTACCACATGCTTGGGAACAAAAGGGTGAATTAATACAAGGTTGCGAAGTCTATTCATTCACTTTCTACTGGCTAACAAACTTTGCCTCCAGGGTCCCATGCCTCTTATCAGTTATCCACATCATTTCTGTATTTGCTGGAGCAAGATGCAGTAACTGTGAAATGGTTTTTGTTAGGAAGGGGGCACCAGGTCGATCTCCCTGCAGTTCATGTGAGCAAGGTGATGAGCTTTGTCTGTACTGGTGACAAACCATACATTTTCAGAAGTGCCAAGTAGCCAAATTCCATGATAGGTGTTACTTGATAGAAGTGTCTGTGCTGTTGTTTTAGGCAACTCTTCTTAGACTTTTTAATAATAAAATTAAACTTGTGATAAAATTGCTAACTTACGTTAATGACAAAAGTGATGTAGAAAGCTTTCAGAGATGTCAGATTTTCAGTGAAATATATGACAAACTGATTTTTTTTCTTTTCAAGAAACTCTGAAGTTTGAGTAACATTTCCATCATGCTTCTGTCTATTCACCCTGTTCTTCAGAATGTGTATGTTTTTCTTAATTTTCCTTCTCCTGTCGTTCAGTCATGTCTTGCCCATACAGTCACAAAGTCCATGCATACATTCACAGCCACATAATATCTTTGCTTCCTTCATTTTTGCAAGTGTGTTTTTTAAGATTTGTTTTGAGTCAGGTACAAGTCCATGAATGCACTTAGAATATGGGCTCAAATATATGCTTGCTAATAAGCCACAAAAATGTGTTTTTTCATACTTCATAGATTTTTTTCCTTATAATAGCCCGAATCTGTCTCATTTGATCTTAATAGTGATCTTCCTAAAACAGTTGCCTTGCAGAATTTTATCATCCATGTGAAAGTAAAGAACAGCTCTTATAAAAAATATGGATCAAATATTAAGTACCCCTTTGCATTACTCTGAGGAGATAATTGAAGACTGAAAGGTTTATCTCCCCTGAAGGGAGCTTTTCATATTTGGAAAAAGGCTCTAGTAATTTAGCTGTTTTGTTCTTAGGTCATAGTCTGACCTTCAGCATTAATAGTCAGGGCAGACACCACGTGGGCTGAGTGAGACCCTCCAGGGTTCTCCTCTCCTGCTCTCTCTTAGCGCCTTAGCACAGGCACTAAGGTGTCCTTGGAGAAAGGGAGAACCTGCAGGGAGCGAGTTAAACCAGTTGTGCGCTTTTGCACTGAGATATGTTAAGCCAGTAGTACTGTAGCTCTAGGAAGAGGCAATGCTACATTAAGCAAGTTTTCTGCTTTAGACAATCTTTCTCAAGGAAAGTGGTTGTATGTGGAAATTCAAGGTCTATTAAAGATAACATGTAATGCAAATGGTAAGATGTACATGATAAAATGCATTGTGTGATGCAGTGTGATAGCTGCCTTCTTACTGCCGTTTCTCCCAGCTAAATCCCTTTCTAAAAGGAATAATTGAAAATGTCATAAATAGAAATTTATATGCTTCTTGCATGCAATTGTCAGCCTTTTACTTAAATCCTGATTTCTTGCCTTTTTCATGGCATCTTTTACCCTTGTAAGCCTCAGATCAGTCTAGCTTGTGATAGTTCACGTAGCTTTTTTCCTGTGTAAGTTTGAGCCATTGTGTACTGAACACTTAGGTATGCGTAATGAAAGAAGAGCTTGAGTGAATCCTTGAGTCTTAGAAGCAGAAAACAGTCAGCTTTTACCAAAACTACAGAAGCTAAGGGAAGCTATATCTGTTTTTATGCAGAGAATAGCTGAATGTTTTGATGTATACCTGAGATACAAGATGGCATATACATTGTTTAGCTGTTTTATGCCTCTATGCTTAAGGGACAAGTAAAGTCAAACTTTATTCTTGCCTTGTTAATAGTATAAGATATATTTATATATAAATTTATACAATATATATATTTATATATAAATATGGAAAAAGAAAGAGATAATGAAATTGAGACCTGATTGAGCATGGTATGTGAAGTCAGAAAGAAGAGTTTATGATGGAGGTATGTTAATCTGGGCATGGACTATGTTCTCTTCCTTTCTCTCTTTCTCAAATGGTGTGAGCCAAACTCTGCAGCTCCTCCCGAATTCAGCACTGGCCACTGCTCAGCCCAAGTGAGCATATTTACTGTATCTCAGGGGTTCCTGTTGCAGAATTATATCCTTTAAAACAGCTTAGAGTAAGAGAAAACTGAGGAACTGTAACTGTTTTCATGTTGGCCTGTAGCAGAAATTGAGCCAAGTCCTAAAAAACTACTCTTTCTACCTGTGTGTGTATAACTTCATTATATGGGATAGTCCAGAAGCTTTCTTTTTATTGTTCTTCATTGCTTACTTTACCTGAGGCAGGCAATAGTCAGCTATTTTCACAGTAGTTTGCTAATGATGTTTTGAGAGAACCTCTTCAGGAAAAGATGTAGTAATGTTTAGTGACTGGGCTCCCTGCAAAAATTTCCAAATGGAAAAATCACTCAAAAGTGTCTGCAAAATCTGTTTCGTTTGTGAGTTTCTGCTCTGGATACAGTATATTGTGTCCTGGTATCGGTGTAAGTGGTTAATCTATTCTATAAGTAAAACATCCTGAGGTTTTTAGAGAGAAGTGGATTTTTATATGCAAGTTTTGGTAAAAATTTAAATACAACCTATACTTTTGTCTTGATATTGAATGGAACGGTATATGCTTATTTTAATGTAATATTTGTTCTGGTTTGTGCTTTTTGGTTTAGTGATAGAATTAAGTTAATATTTTCAGGAAAAATGCTCAAACACTCTCTTGAATCAGTATTTTAATCTTGTAATATTCAAGTTCCTTTATTGTGAAGCATGAAATTTCTGTTTATCTGAGTCTACCTGCATAGAAAAGAAGTGGATGAAAGTCTGTCTCTTCAGATAAAATATGCATATGTGGAAAGAAGGATTTTGACAGAAAATAAGTCTTCAGGAAATGGTTAATATTAAGGTTGAACCTTTGTCTGACAGATGTTTATTTTGCTTACTAGTACACCTGGAGAAAGGATTTGTTCTTATCCAGATGCTCTTTTTTAAATAAAATTCCAAAGCAAATTTTTGTTTGCACAGATCACTCTAACATTCTCAGATTCAGCTGAGCTACCAGGTTTACAGCAGCATTACAATATTGAGGATGTCTTTTCCATATGTTAGCTGTGGCAGCAAGCGGAGAGCTGGAGCCTGGTGATACGACAGGTCGTGTGCTGCCTCGTCCTGAGGCGTGCTGATAGGTGTGACCTCTCCTGGCAAAAATGCATCCTCCAGTAAGACCTAGAGAACTGCATGGACAGCTTGAACACCAGGGGACTCAATTTGTAGTATTTGGTCCAGGAGAGGAATAAGATGTTGTAGCAGTCTCTAGCTAGTCACATCTGGTGGTCCAGAGCTGCCCAGGAGAGTGAAATACTCCAACCTTGTCAATTCTTGAGACTTGGTTGCCATGGTCACACCTTTAGAGAGATGGAGACTTTCTTTTCCTCTATTTTGTATGTGTAGTAGGGGGTCATAGTTGTGGTATTGCTGCTCTGTGGAAAACCATACCTCTTTTCCATTGATCTATTGCTAGTACATTCCCCAAACCAAAGCTTTGGGCTCACTTGCTTTTAAAACACTGCAGACCTGAGCTTCTCTTTCTGTCCTCTTCCTTAATCCCATGTACAGTCTTTGTCTGTCTGTATTATTTGTTTCAGGAATACATTGTCTTTTTAAAAGATGACTTTTTCTGGAGCAATAATCACCCCACCCTGGTATTCCTTTCTCAATTTGTAAGGGTCAGAAAGCATTCATCAAACGAACAGTCCTTTCACTAAACCTCTTTCTTTAGAAATGCTCATCCTGCAACATGTTTAGGAGTCAGAATCATGTCTGTCTTTACTTTTTTTCTGCTATGGACTGTGTGATTGAGTTATATACTTTGATTCTGATCTCCATATCAAGTTCACTAGGTAAAATAAATACTTTGTAATATTTTCTTCACCACTGCTGCCTCCTGCTATCACACTCAGTTCCATGTGCACTTTCTGCACTTTCATTGCAACTCTGCATGGACCTTCACAAAGAGCTATAACTAGCATTTGGATGCAAGAACACTTTTTTACGGTGAGGACCATCTTCTAGAACATACTACTTATGGTCCTGAGGATTTTGAAATTGTTATTATCAAATAAGTGGTTTTGAGAGCAAAATGCATTTATGAAATTGATGGTATGATGCAGTGTTTGATTAGTGAAGATGCAGGCTAGTTGTCCAAGGAGTTTTGATTTTATTTAATGCTTCTATCTTATTTTTTTTTATTTACTCTTTTTTAAAGGGTGGAGGGGGGAGAGAATTGACTCCTGTGTCTGTGAATCCTTGTACATTCCTTGCCTAGTAAGATGCTAGAAGGGTTAACTTTGTCCTCTCCAAACTACAAATACTAAGTGCTGGTAGCCAGTCCTGACCATAGGAGATGAATATTGTCTTTACTGTACCTGATTATTACATGTCAGTGCTATATTATAGTAATCTATGGCATATTTGGAGGACAAAAAAGAACAAGCTGCGTTACTTCTGATTATTATTGAAATAGAGTTAATGCTAAAATGAAGAGATGGATGAGTTCCATAAGGAAAAAAAAAAGATAGATTTAAAACACACACACGCACACAAATACATTGGATGAGCTCCCTTGATCCCAGTCCAATATTTTCAACACTGCATGCTTTTTTCTCGTAGCAGAGAAGTGGAAAATTCATGTTGGATTACTTGCAACTACAAAGATTTCAAACTTAAGCAAAAACATTTCACATCATTATATCAGATATTTAATTCTGTTAAAATCCTTTACATTGCATTCATATTCTTGCCTGTTAACCTATGTGTAATAGTTTCATGTGTTTAAAAAGTTTCAAAAAAAAATTGGAGAATGGAAGGGAAACTTTGATCTTTCCCTTGCTATTTATAATCCAGAACACTAGAGGACAGCACTAAAATATTACATAAATGTGTTATTGTTCAGGGTTAATGATATGTGTGTGTATATATTTATATTAAAAAGATGTATGTGTCTGAAGGCTTTGTGAGAAAAAAACAGGTGATGCTTTGATTTGAATAGAGGGAAATGAGTGTTTTCCTTAGTTTCTTCTACAATATATTTTGACTTTTCAATTCACACGTATTTGCTACTATAATTTCTTTATAAGAAATGGAACTTTAATATTTTTAATGTAGTAATGCTGTGGAATAGATGTTTACATTAAAATACTTTTTTAGTGGTTAGAGTGAGGAGCTGCTCATCTGTAAACATAGATTCATGATTTCTTTGCTGACGTGAAGTGTATCGTGTTAACACTATTATATAAGTATGAAGTAGAGTAGCTACTTGAAAAAAAATCATTCTGGTTTGTTTCTCTAGGTACCCTAGAACGACATGAAACAGGTGAAACAGCAAAAGCCATTCTTGCTTCCATTGACGAATCAGAATATTTAATGGCAGGTGCTCTGCTTCCTATATCTCAAGATTCAAGAAGGCATAAAGATACCCCATCCAAGTTCTCTAGCTCTTACAAGCGTGGCATGGTCTCTCACAATCTTACTCATACAGAGAAAACTTCTGGTAAGGTAAGAATGAAGAGTAGAGAGTTTAAGAGCAATGAATTTTGCTCCAAATTCTTCAGTCCTTCACTTCTGTTAATATGCAACCTGTCTAAAAGGTGTGGAAATGTGTTTTTAATTTGTAAGGCCTTCGTCCTGTTGGCCCAATTTCTATGGTTTCAACTCCGTTTCAGTAATTGAAATGGGAAAGATAAGGAATGACTTGAGACTTTCAGAAGACAATTCTCAAAGAGTTGGTAACTGCAGTTAGCCCCCATTTCCTTATGCTGCTGGCCTACGACTGCCATGAGATTTGGCATCTATCTATCAGTACAAAGCCATTGGCCTTTCCTCTGCTGTGTTTCTGCAGAAGTGCAGCTCTCTGTAATTCAATGCTTGTTTTTATTGGGTGTTTCTGTTTGCTCTGGATATCATGATAGAGCAGTGTGCAAGTGTCTGCCCTTTATATTAGTGCAAGTAAATTTGACAATTCATTGGTTAAAAGGAGGATGGTGCTCTTTTTGATAAGACACTGTGCCATACACGGGTAGCCCTGTGTTCAGGAGGTACCTGGAGCCAGGCACAATGCTAGCTTTATCTTCCCCCCCGCCCCGAGAAATAATCAAGACAAATAATAGCTCTGGAGAAGATATGATTTGAGGGGAGGGAGGGGGGAATTTTAAGTAAATTCCAAACTGAAACTAGTGTTTCAGAGCTGAAAAAACAGGCACAGAGATACTAGGTAATGAGGCAAGTTTGAAAATGCAGTATTAATTTTGTTTATACCTTAAGTATATCTATACATGTTTTGTTGATATATGAAAATCTGCATTCATTCCATGTAAAACCAACTATTAAAAGTGTCACAGCTTTAATAAAACTCAAATTCTTTTCTTTCAGCCTTTGTTCAGGCTGGAAGGTCCCTGGTCTGCCTGTGAGGAGTGAGCATACTGAGTTTTTGATAGCAAAGTACTTAGAGTGGGACTGCTGGTGTTTATCACCCTTGATTAAAGAATTTGGGGAAATCGGTTCTCTGCAATGCACCAGCGGAAGTCATCCAGTAATTTTCAATCCTAAATCAAGGTTGCAATTGTGATAGAGCCAAAAGGAACATTTTTTGTTGACAAGTGTGTGAAAAAGCCCTCAAATGGCTTCTGGCATTTAGTTTGTTTGCCTTTATTAATTTTAGCGCCTGAAAAACTCTCTTTTCCAAAATTCAGTCTTATAGAAGTTTAATCCAAGTCCCATTTTGAAATTTTCTAGTCTTTATTGTATTTACAAATTTAAACGTATTTCTGAGTTCAAACTGATGATTGTTTAACTCCGTCTTTGACCTTTGACTAACGTTAGTCCGATTTCTAAAGTTCTTTCATGCCATTTGCTGAAAAGTCTTATTAGCGCATAATCCTGCTGAGCATCTTGTGGGGCAGATGGTGCATAAGTTGGCCATTGACACAGAATCTGATCGCACTGTTAAAGGAATAGATTATTCTTGTGTTTTAAAGGAACAACAGAAAAAGTTGTCTTTGGAACATAGTTTGGGTAATAGATTTTAAATTGAAAATTGCATCAGTTTAACAAAGAGAACTTGCTTCCTGTGGAATATGGGGAACTATTTTTTGTTTGCTTTGGAAATGGGAAGCTTTGATTTTGCTTTGATTGCTATGATATTAATTTGGAAGCAATGTCACACTAGTGTGGCAGTGGGACTCATAATAGCTTTTGTAGGACATTACTTGCTGAGACATCTCAGCTGTTCTGTTTTGTATTGTTACCTGTTTTAATACTTAAATTTTGTTTAAAAATTATCTTGTTCCAAAGGGGCGTGTTTTGTGTTTTTTGTTTGTTTTTGTTTTCTGAAAGAAAATTGATAGTCATTTGACCTTCTCTTTTTATTTTTTTATTGTTGGATTCACAGCAGTAATACAGTCACTTTATTTTAGACTTACACCCTAATAAATATTTTTTGTGTTTCTACACAAAGATCTGCACCTGGAAAGCCACTTCTGATCTAAAAATGCTTCATCCTTCACAAGCTGGCAGTCTTTTCTCACCTCCATCCCTGTTAGAGCTTCCTTTGCAGGCTGGGATGGGAGAGGCCAGAGGCTGGACGTACAATGTGTAGGTGAACCTAGCAAAGCTGTAATGATGGAGGTCCCCCTCACAATGCTATTCCAGAAGCTTTTTGACAAGTACTGTATTGACACTTTCTGGTTACTGGATGTGCTTATTGTATTAAAACATTTTGAGATAGTCACCAGAAATCCAGTTGTGTGAAATTAGTGGGTGTTCTATGGAACTTGGTAGATTCAACACTTCGTGCTATGTTTTTGTGAATAGTGGCAACACTGATGAAATTAATGCAGAACTTATATAAACACTTTTGTTTATTGGTGTGTATACATTCAATATTTCATTATGAATTTTTTCTTTGGAAAATTGTGTATCAGAAAATTAACAAAACACTATATTGTATAAAATAGTTCTACTTCCCTAAAAAATAACCAGCACACTTTTACTTTTTTTCTAAAGCATTTCATATCAGTCTTTTTCTTGATTTAAATCCTGACTTAACATTTTAGTACAGAATATTTGTTTTCAATTTTTAAAGGTTTATATAATAGAAAAAGTCAAGAGTAGATACTCTATCCTGTGGGTTTTATACTTGTAAATGATCCTTACTTTGTATAATGAGTGCAAATCCACATGAAGATGGCAAGTGAGATTCATCATTGTGATTATTGTTAATACTAATTCTTTATTTAATTACAACTATATTTAAGAAAAACAATGCCTGAAAGGTAATGGTCTCTTTATACTTAGGAAAAAAAGGAGGAAAAATATCCTCACAACAGTCCAACTTCAAAGGTTTTCTTTCAAAACATTTGTCATGATGTAAATCACAGATACAAAAGCAGAATGCTTTGATTTCATGGCGTTTTGGCCATTTAAATTCTTTTGTGCTGCACGTGCCAGTGGGAGTACCAATAACAGACCAGTGTGACAAATGCAGTTAACACAAGATCCATATTAATGTTGTCAAATTCCCTTGATATATTTAAACAGATTTTAATTATTTTCAATGCTGAAAGACCTGAAATATATAGCTTAATAGTTCTTCAAGAAAGCTTTGCTTAATATGTGAATGTAAAACCTCTCATAAAAATGAAACTTTTATATTGGCCTTAGTCATTGACATAGGGTATTCATCAAGTCAGCAATTTGTGTGGCAAAGTGCCATTTGAATAGTGTATTGTTAGAATACTTATGGTCCACTTGACAAGGGCTCTTGCTGTAAATAGTGCAATTTGACTCCAGCTGTTAAAGAGTGGCTTTGACAGCAGCCAAATAGAATGGAGATGCTTTACTGCACCACAGAAAAATCAATATTGGGTTCTTGTTCATAGTAACCTGTTTTTTTCCTTTTTTTTGCAGAATTATACAATGTTATCTGGAGTTTATGTATGAAATTTAAATATTATTTTAAAAGTTGCTCTATTTTATTTTCAGATTAGTACAGATGATAAACGATGCGTGTCTATAAATGATGCGTAAACAATAAAATAGTACTTTTGAGATGCACACAAACACTGGCAATGAAATAACACAGTTATTTCAACTCCCTGGCTTATATGGATGGATATTAGGATGTAGATGTATAAGCAATATGACTAATGACAAAAATGATCTTTCTTTCCTGTTAATTTTTTGTTTCTCTATTTTCATTTTGTAGTACTCCTGTAGCATCTCTGACCATCTTCTCTGCAGGTTTTTTTTTTTTTAAAGCAGATTTCTTTGTTGTTCTCCCTGTAACAACCCCCACAGATGTTGTCAATCTGTAGTGCCGTTGTAGATTTTCCTGAAGCATAGTCTGGCTGGTGCTGAACAGTTTTCCAGCAGTATTCACTGACACAAGGTTGCTATGATACCTGGCCAGTAGCAATAGGTATTGAATCACTGATCTTAATTACAATAGCCTATACACTCGATTGTGTGCGTTTGGTGTTTCTTTGGACTAGCTCTCATTATACTTTTAAGTCATAGATATTTTTTGAAAATCGGGGCCGTGTAAAAGACGGCTTTTAAAAAATGCTTCAGCAGTTCATATGAAGATTTCATTGATTCACATAAGCTGGATATTTCTGGGAATTGTTTTCCTGATGCTGTAGAAGCCTCATGTTAAAAAGTTCCCAGCATTTTGGTTTAAATAATTTGGATATGAATGTCTTTAACATGCACTGATATTTTCAGTATGTAAATAATGTGATTAAGGTTCTGTGTAAAGATGATGGAGAAAGAGCAGCTTATAAAATTTGTGCAATTAATCATTGATCAAATGCTCTTTATTGAAGTCTTTGGTCTGCTGAATTATCCTACTGAAGAGTAGGACCAGAAAAGGAATTTTAATTACTAGTTTTCACATATGTGAAATAAGAGAAAGATGAGTGGGAAAAGTATATTTGTATGTGAGCAATTATGGGAATCTTAGGTATGTTTATGTATTTGAGTACCTGTTACTCTAACGTGTGGTAAATACATCTAAATATTTTAAATCTACATAACTAGTGTTTGTTCATATTCATTTATGTAATAACATACTTACTCTTTTTTAAGCAAAATATGTATAGGCAGGAGGCTTCTGAAATGGACATACAGTGTTTGTTTTTATATCTGTTTAAAAGAAGAAACAAGAAGATAGGCGGTAAAATATAAATAATAATTAACATCAACTCTGTTAGGTTATAATGCTGCTGCACAGAATAAACAGAAAACAAATCCAGTCTGCCAAACAAGTTACTTGTTTCATTAAGGAAAGGGATGTAATTTAAAAATTAAGTTTTGAATGCAAGCCTGGAGAATAATATTTTAGTTAAATCCTACTGGTGGAAGAACTAATAACAAAATAGAAATGAGCTAAAAGCACAAATAACAAATTATGCTTACTGATAAGAAATCAGGAGCAGTGTCATAAACCATGCTGAGTTAGTCATAAATTAATTTATTTCATTTATTATGAGGAATTTCAG